CTTCCAGAACAACATTGAACAGATGTGGTGAGAGCATGCATCCTTGTCCTATTCCAGTTCTTAGGGGAAAAGCTGAAAGCAGTATGATGTAAGCTGTGGGTCTGTCATGTACTGCCTTTATAGTATTAAGATACTTTCCTTTCCCACCTAACTTGCTGAGAGTCTTTATCATGAAGGATGAATTTTATCAAATGCTTTTTTTGCATCTATTGAGATGATCATATGGTTTTTTTCTTTCATTCTGCTGTGATGTATCACATTTATTGATTTGGGTATGTTCAACAATCCTTGCATCCCTGGGATAAACCCCCTTGGTCACAATGTGTAATCTTTTTGTCATGCTGTTGGATGTGATTTGATAGAATTTTATTAAGGATTTTTGCATCGATATTCATCAGAGATATTGGCCTGTAGTTTTCTTGTTTCATTGCATCCTCACCTGGTTTGGGTATCAGGATAATATAGGTCTCATTGTAGGAATTTGGAAGAATTCCATCCACTTTAATTTTCTGAAATAGTTTAACAAGTATTGGTATTGGTGCTTCCTTAAATGTTCGGCAGAATTCAGCAGTAAAGTCATCTGGTCCTGGGATTTTGTTGGAGACTTTTTATTACTGATTCAATCTCATTACTTGTTATTGTTCTACTTAGGTTTTCTATTTCTTCTTGGTTCAATCTTGGTAGGTCATATTTGTCCAGGAATTGATCCATTTCCTTTAAGTTTTCACATTTATTGGCATATAGGTGTTCATAGTATTCTCTGATGATCCTTTGTATTTCAGAGCTATCTATTGTAATGTTTCCATTTGCATTTCTGATTTGATTTGGGTCTTTTTTTTTTCTCATTCTGGCTAATGGTTTGTTGATTTTGTTTATATTTTCAAAGAACAAATTTTTCATTTGATTAATCTTTAGTATTGTACTTTTTGACTTCAATTTCATTTATTTCTGCTCTGATTTTTATTAATTCATTTCTTCTACTTATTTTGAGTTTAGTTTGTTCTTGTTTTTCTAGTTCCTTGAGGAGCATTGTTAGACTATTTGAAATCTTTTTTTATTTTTATTTTTGATGTAGGTGTTGATTACTACAAACTTTCCTCTTTATACTGCCTTGGCTGTATCCCATAGGTTTTGGTATGCTGTGTTTTCTGTCTTCATTAGTTTCAAGAAATTTTATTTCCTTCTTAATCTCTTCCTTGATCCATTTTATCATTGAAGAGCATGTTGCTTAACTTCCATGAATCTGTGTAGTTTCACAAGTTCCTTGTTATTGATTTCTAGTTTTTTTCTATTATGGTCAGAACAGATACCTAATATGATTTCAATCTTTTGAATTTGTTGACTTATTTTGTGGCCTAACATATAGTCAATTCTGGAGAATATTCCATGTGCTGATGAAAAGAATGCATATTCTGCAGCTGTTGGATGAAATGCTTTGTGTATGTCTTTTAGGTCCATCTAGTCATGATGCCATTTGAATCTGATGTTTCCTTGTTGATTTTCTCACTCAACAATCTGTCCAATGTTGAAAGTGGGGTGTTAAAAGTCCCCAACTATGATTGTGTTGGTTTCTACGTGTCCCTTTAGATCTGATATTTACTTTATATATCTGGGTGCTCTGGTGTTGGGTGCTTATATATATTTATAATTGTTATATCCTCTTGCTGTACTGATCCCTTTATCATTATATAGTGCCCTTCTTTGTCTCTTACTACAGATTTTGATTTAAAGCTTGTTTTATCTGATGTAAGTATAGCTTCTCTTGCTTGCTTTTGTTTTACGTTTGCATGGAATACCCTTTTCTATCCGTTCAGTCCATATGCCTCTTTGCAGGTAAGGTGTGTTTCTTGTAGGCAGCATATGGATGGGTCACTTATTTTATCCATTCAGCCAGTCTATGTCTTTTGATTGGGAAATTTAATCCATTTACATTCAAGGTTATTACTGATAAGTGAGGTCTTACTCCTGTCATTTTGTTCGTTGTTTTGATTGTTTTGTGTATCCTTTGTTCCTTTCTTTCTCTCTTATTGTTTATGTTTGTGGTTTGGTGATCTTCTGTATTTATAAGGTTTGATTCCTTTCTCTTTCTAATTCGCATATGTACTCTACCTGTAAGTTTTTGAGTTTCAGTATTTTCAAGACAATTGTTATTTTTCTCCAGATGTAGGACTCCCCTAAGCATTTCTTGTAAGGCCAGTCTGGTGGTGATGAATTCTCTTAATTTTTGCTTGTCTGAGAAAGATTTTATTTCTCCTTTATTTCTGAAGGATAGCTTTGCTGGGTATAATATTCTTTACTGGCAGTTTTTTCTTTCAGTACTTTGAATATTCATCCCACTCTCTCCTGGCCTGTAGGGTTTCTGCTGAGAAGTCAACTGTTAGACTAATAAGGATTCCCTTACAAATGACTTGATGTTTTTCTCTTGTTGTTTTTATAATTTTCTCTTTGCCTTAACTTTGGATAGTTACAATGGATAGTGTCTTGGAGATGACCTATATGGGTTGAATCTATTTGTGGACCTTTGAGCTTCCTGAATTTGGAAGTCTGCATTTTTCCCAAGACTAGAGAAGTTTTCAGCTATTATTTCTTTAAATAGGTTTTCAATTCCTTTTTTAAAGGAATCTGCTCAGCTGTTCCTGGGCAGTAGGTGGGGCTGCTAGGCAGGCCTGCAGTGAGGGAGCTCATCCAGCCACTTCTGGGAACATTGGCAAGGCCTCTTGGCAGGAGTGTTCTCTGGGAGGGCACAGATACACTTTATTTCCATTAACCCGAGGGCGTATTTGTTATGATAGAGACCTGTGAGCTGTTTTTCCAGGTTAGGGGATCAGGCACACACAACTCAGTCAATTGGAGGAGTTAGGGTATAGGGGGAGAAAAGGGGGAGTGGTCCACCTGAGGAGGGCCTGCCTGTCTGATCGCTGGCCAGGGACCTGAGGGATGCATCAGTTCAGCATGACAAGGGTTAACTTCCCAGACTATGGAACTAGAGTCACAGGCTGCTATGAGCCCACACTTTGAGCCACCAGGATCAAAGTGTTGTAGCCTCTCGTGTGAGTGTGCAGGGAGGATGGCAAAGCTTTAAGGCTGGGGAAGCACCAGGGCAGGGCAGATTCTTGGCAAGGACTCTGGTTTCAAGATGGCACTGTCCTGCAATCAGCATGGGTCATGAAGGTGGGTGGTGGGGAGTGCATAGTTTGTGCTGCCATTCTAGAGTGATGCAGTGTGTGTATTCTAGGCCATTCCCCACACTTGGCTCCAGGGTTGTCCTGCCAAAGGATCTGACAGCCTCTGTGATGAGGATCAGGGTTGGTGGGGGTCCTCTGCTTACCTTTTCACTGCAAGGGAAAATTTCTCCTGTGCCAATCCCAGTATCGGAGATGTGGCAGCTGAGGCCATGTGCCTCTCTCTCCTCTCTATGCTGCCATCTTGGGCTTTCATGCTCCACAGGGATCTCACCAGTCTCCTGCTGTACTCCCATACTCTCCCACAGACACTCCCATTGATATTTAGCTGTGTTAGTTGTTCTGGTCCATTTCTGTGGGAGGGAAATGACCTGGGCACCTCATGCCCTTCCTCTTGTGCCTGTGCTAGACTTTTACACAACTGGCAGTGTAGTAGGCTTGTTTATACCAGTGTCACCACAAACACGAGTAATGTGCTGTGCTTCAACATTATGGTGGCTACAATGTTACTGGTGGTAAGAATTTTCAGCTCCATTATCATCTTATGGGACCACCATCATGTATGCAGTCCATCATTGATCAGAACCTCATTATGCAGTGCATGAGCATAAATTCAATCTCTAGTATTTAAGATTATTAGTTAACATTTAATGCCTAGGCCCTATTCATCCTTATTAACAACATAAACTCCTTGAGGAAAAGAACCCTAACTTTTACCTTTTTGTATCAGGCACCCAAAAACTGTTACCTGCTTTGTAACAGGAATTCAAAATATGTTCCTAGATGAAAGGTATGTACTTATATGTACTACATCTTACATTATAGGATATTTTAAGAATTTGGGTGAGAAAAATAAATAAGGCCTAAGATTCATTAAGTCACAATCTTCAAAATGAGGCCCAAGAGCTGTGCTGAAAAGGAGACTAAATCACAGTGATTTCAAGGAAGCCTGTGCCTGAGTGTGGACATGGAGGATCAGGTCCAAGAGGGCAAGAGCTTGAGAAGTGAGACTTGAGGAGGAAGGGTTGACAACAGAAATCTCTTTAAGAAATACTGACAAAACAACCATCAACTAATTATAGGAATTTTTTTTAAAGCCAGAATTCCCTAGGTCAGCATGACTTAGACAATCAGAAGTTGGAGGTGGGGAGGATGTGCTGGGTTTGACACTGATGAAGGTGCTAGCAGATAGTGAGGGGAAAGGTCTCCCAGAAGAAAACACTTCAATAAGGAAAACTGAGTATATGTCACACGTTTTAGCTTGAATTTGTTTAAATCTGAGGTGTTAGATTATTAAAATTATTGTTCTTTGGTCTGGCTGGTTAGCTCAATTGGTTAGAGTGCAGCCTTGTAACATCAAGGTCATGGGTTCAGATCCCCATACTACCCTGCCACCAAAAAAAAAAAAAAGAGAGAGAAAAGAAAAAAGTTCCTTGATTCAAAAGCCTACATTTTTATTTTAGTTTCTAAAACCAGGATGTATGTTCACTGTGTACACTTAATGTCGTGGCATTTTTTTTTTTTTACTCAGAATCATTAAACCAAAGGTCTTTCTTATACCAGTGGCATCTTATATAATCAAAAAATAGCTTCACTGCATCACAGTATCAACCCTGTATGCAGAAAACTCCCAAAGCATCAATAAGCCTATATCACCAAACACTGAACTTTGTTTTCTTTCTACCTCCCTGAATGGTTATAGTATGCCTCCTCCCCATTCATTCACCTGCAACTCCAATACCTGTGATGTTCCTTAGACTAAATTTACACTTATCCCTAACTTGAGGAAATACGAAAATCAAATACAAAAATACATACCACTTTCTTTCCAGAAGATTCCCAAAGAGAAACATCTCCCCATGATGTGTTATAAAAGTACTTCTCTCCTGGATCGAAGCCTTTAAGGTCCTTTTAAAAAGGAAGAAAAAAGGGAGATCATTATGCAAATTCAGAAAACAAAGTAGTATTTAATTAGAACCTGAGAAATTACTTGGCTCTTAAGAAATCTACATGGAAAAAGAGAAATGAAAGTAAAGCCTTCAGGAAATTTGGACAGAGTACCCAAGAAAAAGGTTAAAATACCCAAGTTAAAATTATAGTTTTATAAGAAATAAATGGGTGAGACCTCCCAACAAATAATTATCTACATTTTACATATGTAGGCAGAGCCTATCTGTCTTTCAGGGTACACATTTAAACAAAGATCTACAACATGTAGAGGGTTTTTTCTCAGATAAAACAAGCGGTTTTTCACTCAAAGAGTTACACTTGCTACAGTGAAAAACTTAGGCAAAAGACCTATGGTGTAGAAAAGGGTGTGAGGAAAACCTCATAACTGCTGGGAAGAAATAAGCTAAAGGAGGCAGCAGTTCAAGAAACATTGTGTGTGATGGAGACTCTAGCCGGGTGAAGAGAAACAGGTCCCAGAAAAGGGTCAAGAGGCAAGAACAGCACATGAAGTAGGGCTTTCCCCCAGAGCCACATGCTGAGAGCAAAGGTACCAGCAAGTGCTGACTTCCAAAGACTGCTGGCAAAAGGTGGTATTGTGGACTGAATTGTGTCCCCCCAAAGTTTAATGTGTTGGAGGCTTGGTCCCCACTGTGACAGTGTTAAGAAGGTGGGAAATCCTACTGTGGTAACTGAAAGGTGGGACCTTGAAGAGGTGATTAGATTGTGAGTACTGTGCCCCCATGAATGGATTGATCAATGGATTAATCATTCTTGGAATAATTGGAGTGGTTCCAGTGGCTTTAAAAGGAGAGTGAGTGAGAAGGTTAGTCTTTCTCTCTGCTCCACCATCTGCCATGTGAGACCCTGTAGTCACTTCACCAGATGTGCTCCCTGGACTGTGGCCTTCCCAGCCTCTGAAACTGTAACCAATAAATTACTGTTTCTTTATAAATTACCCAGTTTCAGGTATTTCTGTTATAAGCAACAGAAACAGACTATACAGGTAGGGAAGGGAGAAGGGAGGGGAAGGAATTTGTCACCTTTGCATATGGATGAGACTGACCTAAGACAAAATGATTATGAGCTTTTATGGAGAGGTGGTGAAGAAAGTAATCTGCCTCACTGTTTTGTAATCAACACGTGCCTTGTAATCAACAAGATTCAATAGTCAAATATTTACTGTCCTACTCTGGGGACACAACCATAAATAAGATAAACACGATCCCAACCACACGGTTTTTCACAGTTGAGAAAGACAGATGGCTTAGAAAAAAATTTCACAGCACATACTGCCTTCTGGTGATAAGTGCTATGAAGAACTATTTTGGAGTGACGGAGTATAAAGTGGGGAGCTCTAACCATGTCTGCCTGACCTGAACATGACCAGGAGTCAGCAAGGGGGGGCTGTGGTTAACATGACAGGGAGGGGCAAGAAGATAGAAGGGGTGGCAGTTGTGGCTCAACAGAGGGCTTTAAGGAAAAATGTTTTAAAAAGTGAAAATTAGGGCCGGCCCGGTGGCACACTCGGTAGAGTGCGGCGCTTGGGAGTGCAGCGGCGCTCCCGCCGAGGGTTCGGATCCTATATAGAGACCGGTCCGCTCACTGGTTGAGCACGGTGCGGGCGCGACACCAAGGGTTGCGATCCCATTGCCGGTCGCGGTACGGGCGCGACACCGAGGGTTGTGATCCCGTTACCGGTCACGAAAAAAGACAAAAAGACAAAAAAATGAAACAAAGAGAAATAACCATAAGTACTAGAAAACACACTTAAAGGAACTTTAAGTAAATCTTAAAAACAATCAATGCAAACAGAAAAACATAAGCTCAATTAGAAGATAATGCTATAGCAGCAGAAATAAATAAGAAAGGTAGGAATTAAGAAAAGTCCTACAACAATTATGAAATCATTATCAACTTAGAGAAAGTAAAAATTCACTCTTTCGAAAAAGACAAAATAAATAAACTTCTATTAAAAAAAGACATCCTGCAATACTGACTTTGTGATAAACTAGCACAGGGTCTCCTGGAAACTTTGTGAGCACTGATGTTCTCATGTGTTAAAGAAACTAGTGGAAAAAGAACTAGCAGAAAGAAGGCAGAACAACTACCAAATTGCCAAAGAGGTCCACCAGGCAGAATAGAATGACCTCTTAATGATACAGTGGGGCATGAGCCTCAGAGAGAGTACTGTCTCCTTCATGTGGCCAAGTTAGGCCTAGGCTGTTCCAGACCCGTTCTAACAATGATTAAAAGCAAGCCTCAAGGGCCGGCCCGGTGGCACACTGCTGTAGTGCGCCGCTTGAGAAGCGTGGCGGCGCTCCCGCCGAGGGTTCGGATCCCACATACAGACCGGTTCCCGCTCACTGGCTGAGAGAGGCGCGGGAGCAACACCGAGGGCTGCGATTTCATTGCCGGTCCCGGTCCGGTACGGGGGCGACACTGAGGGTTGCGATCCGTTGCCGGACACGGAAAAAGACAAAAAAAAAAAGCAAGCCTCAAAATACTCAAACCAATTTTAAGTCTTAAATATGTCCTAGAACAAAACCCAAAAATATTTAAAGAAAACAACAAAATCCAGCACCCATAAAACTCACAACATCCAGCATCCAGTCAAAACCTGCCAGTCATACAACCATTAGAACAAACAATGATAGAAAACATGAATGCAATGAGTAGGAAAATGAAAGATATAAAAAATGCCCCAAAGTGCACTTCTGTGAATGAAAAAATGCGACATCTATAGTGGAAAACACACTGCATGGGAATAAGAGCAGATTAGACACTGCCAAAGAAAGTACTGGTGAACCTGAAGACACAGCAAGAGAGGTATCCAAAATGAAAGGGAAAAAAAGACTGAAAACACCCCAACAGGGCATCAGTGAGCTATGGGATAATATCAACCAGCCTAATGTATGTGTAACTGGAGTCTCAGGAACAAAAACAGGGAAAAATATTTGAAGAAATGATGCAACAAAATTTTCCAAATCTGATGAAAACTGTCAACCACAAATTCAAGAAGTTCAAGCAAAACCCAAGCAAGAGACATGAAGAAAACTAAACCAAGACACATTATAATCAAAGTTCTAAAAATGCATATAGAGGAACAAAAATGATGGAAAACATATTTTTGGAAAAAATGCCAGCCACAAGACAACAAAGTGAAATCTTTAAAATACAAAAGTTAAAAAAGTTAGAATTCTATGTCTATCAAAAATATCTTCCTAACAGAAAGATAAAACTTTTTTTCAGAGAAAAGGCACAGAGAATTAATTAAGCAGACCAACACTACAAAATATATTAAAGAAAGCCCTTCAGGCAGAAAGGAATGATTCAAGGTGAAAATTTATACCTACATGAAGGAATGAAGAGTACCAGAAATGGCTAATGTGTGAATAAATATGAAATAATTTTCTTTTTTACTGCCTAAAATAAAAATAATAACAATGCAATGTAAGGTTTATAACGTGTAGAAGTAAAATGTGTAACAACAACACAACAAAGGCTAAGAGGAGAAATGAAAGCATGCTGCTGTCAGGTTCTTATGCTATCTGTGAAGTAGCATGTCCACACAAAGACTTTTTTAAGAACATTCATAAGCATCTTATTCATAACAGCCAAGAACTGGAAACAGCCTTGGGTATCCACCATCAGGAAAACAGAAAAACGACCTGTGATCTATTCATGAAATAGAACACTACTCAGCAACAAAAAGGACCAAACATACATGCAACAACACAGAAGAATTTTACCCAGGAGTATACAACATACAATTTCATTTCCATAAAATTGTAGAACATGCAAATCTAATCTATGTTAAAAATTTCAGAAAGTGGTAGCCAGTGCGGGTAAAGGCAAGGATTAACTGGAAAAGGGCTTCAGGGGACTTTCTGAAGTAGTGGAATTGTTGTACATCTTGATAGGAATTTGTATTATATGAGTATATGCATGTCAAAATCATCATTTGCAGACACTTAAGGTGCACTTCATGCTATGGTAAGTTTTACTTAACCCCCACCCCCAAAAAACCTGTAAACCAATGCTACACTGTCATTCATGATGAGAATGCTAAAGAGGAGTTCAAGAGTGAAATGTACTGATGCTTACAACTTTCTCTGAAACGCATCAAAAAATAAAATGAAATGACAGGTGGAAAGATGTACAGATATGTAATAAAGCAACTATAATAAAATGTCAACAATTTTGTGGAATGTAAGTGGTCAGTACATGGGTTTGCACTGTACAATCCTTTCAAACTTTTTTTGTTTTGTTTTGTTTTTTTTTTTTGTTTTTTTCCGTGTCCGGCAACGGATCGCAACCCTCAGTGTTGCCCCCGTACCGGACCGGGGACCGGCAACGGGATTGCAACCCTCGGTGTTGC